ATTTGTAGCCTTTGTCCATCATTCTATTGTTTTGGTGATACTAACATGTAGGAGTTATATATTCTGGATACTACTGCTTTGTTATATTCCTTTTACTTTGTATGTTTTCCATTGTCATGTAGAATTCACTGTGGGACTGTATCACAAAGTATCTGTTCTACTGTATCACAACCTATCTGTTCTACTGTATCATAATCTTATCTGTTCTACTGTATCACAATCTATCTGTTCTACTGTATCACGATCTATCTGTTCTGTTGATGAAAATTATGACTGTGAACAGTCTTTTAATCATCTTTTGTTATGCTTCATGTACATTTCTGTTTGACAATATACCTGGGAGCAGAATTGTTTTCTTTTTCTATTTTGTTCAATAAATCTTTCTCTCCCTTGGTAGCATTAAGCTTTTCTCCTGTGTTTGTTTTTCACATTTAGTTCTTTCATCCATCTAGATTTGATTTAAATGGTTTACATGAGAATCATGCCTTGTTCTTTTTTTCATATAGAGACCCAGTGTTGCAACCATTGTTCAGTGGCTATTGCATCTTTTCTGTCTGACTTGTACTCTTCCTCTGACATTGAGCAAGGGTTATATATAGGTTGTTCCTAGGCTTTCTGTTACTGTTTGTCTGCCTTTTCCTAAAGATGCACCACACTTTTATGTACCATAGTATTATAATAACATCTCCCAGTTGTGTTTCATCAAAATTGTATGGATTTTTCTGCTGTGTCAAATAAAGTTCAGAATCAGCTTCTGCAATCATGTTGCTTGTTAATTTCTGAGCGTGGATTTGTTTCCTTTTCAAAAACTACTGAAATATAGCATACCTAAATAAACAGGCACAGATCACCATTGGAGAACTTAGGGAATTTCCAAAAAGTGCACCCCCTGAACTATCCAACGCCCAGATCTGGAAATAGATCTGAGATTGCCCCTTCTAGATTAGATGAGATCCTCCTAGTAGCTTCTTGCCCCTCAAAAGGTAACCGTTGTCCTAATTTTTTTTACCATGGATTTGTCTGCTTGAGTTTGATGCAAATAGGACCATTCTTTGTGTCTGGCTTCTTTGATCCCCACCTTATTTTTTAATGAGATTCAGCCATGTTTTGCATGTAGTTTATTTCTGTTGTATAGAATTCTCTGAATAGATATCACAATTTATCTGTCCAGCTACCAGGAAACATTTGAGTTACTTCCAATTTGAGGCCATTATGAAAAGTACTGCCACAGGCAATCTTTTACTCAGCTTTTCTTATGTATCACATGCATTTCTGTTTGACTGTCCGTGGGAGCAGAATTATGAGGCTGCTTCTATTTTCAGCTTTCATAGATACTGCTAAAGTTTTTCAAAATAGTTTCCAACTTACTTTCCCAATAGTAGTATAAGAATTGCAGGTAGTCTGTGATCTTTATTGTAAGAACTTTTGTAAATGTTACCTTGTACCCCCAGTACAGCAATAATAAAAATTTTCTTAATTAATATTGAGAGTTTTGCATATTTATAAACTTTAGCTATTGTGTGTAGGTAAAGTGGTGGCGTCTCTTTACAGTTTGAATTGCACTTTCCTCATGTCCGTTGATGTTGGACACCTGTTTATCTTTTACTGATCATTTCGTATCTTCTGTCACATTCTTTTCAGTTTTGTCTTTAATTTGTAGAGTTCTTGTTACATACTGAATTTAGGTCCTTGTGAAATATGGAATGCATATATCTTAAGTAGACTTTCATTCTCTTAATGGTATCTTTTGATGGTACAACTTCTTAATTTTAATGTGCTTCAGATTTTCATTCTTCTCTTTATAGTTCCTTCTGATTTGTGAGCTGTTTCAGAAATCTTTGCCAACCTCTAGGTCATATGTTATTGTCTAATGACCCTATTGTTTTTCCCTGTCTACCTGAAATTGATTTTATTTGTGATTTAAGTTAGGGATCAATATTTCTTCTTATTTATAGATGTTCTTTGACCCAGCCCAGGTACTGAAAAGCCCATTATTTGTCTGAGCCACAGTGTTTCCTTTGCCAAGAATCAATGAACTGTACACATGCCAATCTGTCCTAGATTTTGTTCTGCTCCACTGGTATAATTATTACCTTAGATATTATAGCATTATAATATTGATGCTTCCAGGTCATAAACATGGCACATTCTTTCATGTAAGTTGGCCTTCCTTAATTTCTTTCCATAATGTTTTATAGTTTTCTATAAAGGTCTTACCCATTTCGTTAAGCTTGCTCCTAGGTATCTGATTTCTTTTGATACTATGGTATATGTATTGATGAAAATGATTTAAATATCTTTACTTTCAACTACTTACTGTTAAAATGTATGGAAATGTTGATTGAAATAATGAACTTGCATCCAAAGATCTTGCTAAATTCATTTGTTGATTCTAATAATGTTTTGTAGAATTTTTCAGATTTTCTAGGAACACAATCATGACATATAATAAGAATGACAGTTTTCATTATTTTCTTTCTAATCCTTATACTTTTTTGTTGGGGAGAATTACTGGAGTTTGAGCTCAAGGGATCAGGCGTACTAAGTAAGCTGCCGCATGAGCTGTGTCCCCAGCCCTTTTTGCTTTTAGTTTATTTTTCAGATAGAGTCTTGGATTTTTGTCCAGGGCTGATCTTGGACCATGATCCTTCTACCTACGCCTCCTGCATAGCTAGAATTAGCTATGTGTCACCACTCCTAGTTTAATTGTTGAAATGAGTGTCCTTAACTTTTTGCTCAGGCTGTCCTCAAACCAAGATCCTCCCACTCTCCGCCTCCTGAGTAGCTGGCATACAGGTGTGTACTGCATTGTACTGCCAATACTTTATACCTTTTGTTTCTGGTTTTTGGTTTTTAAAAAAATTTCCATGAATAGATACTGAGTTTTATCAAATCCTCTGTGTCACTGGAGCTCATGAGATAATTTCTTGATTCTATTAGTGTGATGAATAATATTGATGGGCTTTTAAATTTTAATTCTTATTAGCATAAGTCAGTTGTACAAAGGGGTTTCATTGTGATATTTGCATGTGTATAGTGTACTTTGATCAAATTCACCCAATCTGGGTTACTCTTCTCATCCTTATTTCCTCCTCCTCCTCCTTTTTGACAGGTTTTGGTGGGTTTTTGATTGGCTTTTGAATATTAAACCAAACTTGTATTCCTCAGAAGCTCCAAACCTTGCATTGGCTTATTAACATTTTATTAAGGAATTTTGTTTGTGTATTTATTGTTCTATAACTTTCCTTTTGGCATCAATATTATGTTGGTCTTCTGAAATGATTTGAAAAGAGTTCCCTGTTGTTGTGTTCTCTAGAAGAATTTTGTAATACTGGTGCTATTCTTAAATGTGTGCCAGAATTTAATGTGGATGTTAGTTAGGTTTAGAGTTTTTCTTGTGGGAGGGCTTTAGTTATATATTTTAATTTCTTAACAGATAAAGGATTATTAGATTTTCCATTTTTGTGTCCTTTTAACCTATTTTTTAAAGATTTGTTCATTTAACTTAAAAATTTTAAATATTTGCTAGAAATTATTAATCTCTGTAGAATTCATTTCATTTTCATCATTAGTTTCACCATTCTACTCATACCTGACTTCTTTCCCTGTTCTTACTATGCTAGGCTCTTTGTGTTTCAAAAACCACAGATTCCTTCAAGTTCCTCAAGGAGTAGAGATTCTCTTATAAACCTCCCTTTGTGAACCCATAGGAGATGGACTCTCACAGGAAGAGCAGCATCTCTAGTACTCTAGCACCTGGATATGCTAGTAATAGTAAGATTTCATAATGTTTATTTTGATCCCTTGTTATTTGCACGAAGTTTCTCTACTTCTCTTTGCCCTCCTCTGACTTTTCTCCATTACTATCTAACCTCGTCCTGTGTAACTTTTCTTCATACCTCTTGTTTCCTCATAACTTTTTATTCATGTCCTCTAGGGCCTTGTGGCCTTTTCCTGTGTATGATCCTTTTTAGCCTCAACTTTTGTTGTTACCAACTGAGTGAACCTCTCCATGGCTCTCAGTTAACTCCAAGAGGTTATTTATTGGCCTGGTTTGAGAAGAGCTTTCGTGCCATGCCTATTGATCAGTTACAGATTGGCTCCTCTTGACAGGTAGGGATTCTCAGGGTTGTGGATTCACGTAGCACAGGGCATGGGTGCCTCAGGCTGACTCCTGTGCATAGGGCTGTGATTGGATAATTTCTCTTAGAAAGAGTCTGTACATGGCAAGTACTGTAATCAATTAATACAGGGAAGTTTTAGAAAATTAAATCAGACTAAAAGTTACAGCTTTTTTGCCTCTTTCACATGTTTTAGTAAAGTGCCAATGAGTAATTAAATGCTGGTAAAACTAATCTCTAGAATTTGGTATTGTAAACTTATTTCAGTAGTCTTCTACCTATGGATGAAAAATGTATGTGCTACCAACTCAAAATAGAGCGTTGGGCAAATAGGGCTTATACTTCTAAGGACAGTGGTAGTTGATAGACTATATATCCATGCACACAGGCAGATTAAAGAATGGGAGAAAGCCATAGTGGGTATCCAGTTCAGCTTGCGCTTATTTTCTTTTGTAATACCTAGAAACAGCTGTGCATAGTATTATAGCACTTTTCTGCTATAGCATAGTTGAGGCTGAGGGCACAGAGAGGGTGAGATTAGCACCTGTCCAGTCTCTGGTTTCCTGTCTTGCTATAGGAATCCCCCTTGCATGTGCTTCCACTACCGTGATGCCATCTTCTTTTCACAGAGCTGAGCAGAAGCCAGCACCGTGCTCTTGGACCTCCAGAACTATGAGCTAAATAAACCCCTTTCCTTTACAAATTACCCAATCTTATGTATTTTGTGACAGCAATGGTAAATTGATTAATACAGTGACATGTTTAAATATACCAGAAAGCAGTGTTTTGCCTAATGAATTCCCATTCATGGGATAAACTATAGATATTACGTAAGAACCCTTCTGGTGCAGTGAGTGAAATTCTCTTTTGATTTTCTAGGAGGACTCAGAGAGAGTGATGATAATTACTGGCCCAAACATGGGTGGAAAAAGCTCCTACATAAAACAGGTTGCGCTGATTACTATCATGGCTCAGATTGGATCCTTCGTTCCTGCAGAAGAAGCGACAGTCGGGATTGTAGATGGCATTTTCACAAGGTACAAACATGAGTTCTGTTTGAATGTATCTCTGAAAATAAGTAAGCCTGTGTTATCATGAATTTTCTTTTTATGTATATATTTAGATGAATAGGTTTACTCTTAAAAAGCTGAGGAGTTTAAATCAGTTCACCATGTACATCAATAGTAAAAGAGACCTTGGAGATCATTTTGTCTAGTATTTTCCAAGTTTTTAATTAGTTCTTTAAACAAAATCTTGTACATGAAATCAGCATTAAGTAGAGAAAGCAGATGTGCTCTGTCTCCCAGGGGTGGAAGACGTGGAGACATGGCTGTGAGGTTGTATGAAGCACAGTCTGAAAACTCATCCCTCCTCCCTACGTTCTAGGTGGAGCCCTGGGGATGGACTGAAAAAGGCACTGACTAAGATAATTAATTCATATTCCTTCTTATTTTAGGAAAGTCACATGCAACTGACTAGAGCTTACTATCCTCCATGTAGAAATCCTAAGTTTTATTCATTCTTAGGAATATGAGCAAAATATCCTACTTTCACTAAAAAGAACTTATAGTTTTATCAGTTTTGCACCTTGTGACTTATCAGTTCTGAAAGTGTTTGTATTTCCTGCTTTGAAAATTATTTTAAAAGTAATCATGATGTGGGCTTGTGTAATCCAGCTTGGCATGCAGAGTGAGTTGTTCTCTAGTGTCGTGTTTATAGAATATTTGACTCTGGGATCGCATCAGATGTATCACTCGCTAATGCTAGTGAGCTTGAAGACACACTGACATACTTTAAAGCTTGGTTTCCCAGTTGACAGTGAACAAAGCAAAGCAACCAAAGTTTTCTTTGATGTTGTTTCACCAAACAGATACCACTCTCCTCTCCATACATTGTAAGTTAACTCAATGTAAGAAGTTTAAAGAATCTTTATGTTAAAATTATAATTGATTCTTATTTTGGTTATAGTAGTTACAGTATTAGTAACAGAGAATTTTTATAAAGAAAAAAATAAAAAAAAAAAGAGAAAAATCACCTTGAGCAACATAAGGTGATTGGCTTGGAAGAGAATCTTGCTACTGGACAGAATATCAGTTATTGTTTATAGATTAAATTAATCAGAAGCTCTGTTTTTCTCATGTATGAAAGCTGGAGGTAGCAGCTTCTTGTGGCTGTTTCAGAGGCTCTGCCATTTGTTGGCTTTTCCCTCAAAGTTGCAAGATCATTGCTGCAACTGCAGGCATCACAGCCATAGTTACATGAGGCAAAAGGGAGAAAAAGCTGCCACATCTTCCTTATTTATTTATTTTTTTTTTTTTAAGGAAAATCAATTGCTTTCAGAAGCCTCTCAGAAAAATTCCACTTACACGTTATTGACTAAAACTTATGGGTACAATTGCAAGAGAAACAGAATGTACAGCTTTTATAATGGAGTTAATAAAGTGACAAGGTGGTTGGGAATATATTTAGAGGTAATCAAAAATAGTTTTTGCCATAAGGAGTGAATTCAGCATTAATAATAACAGCCAGTTAAACTTAATGATACTGTATTTGTAATAACTGTCTGATAACATTCTCAGTAACACACAGGCACTATTCTGTGTCCTTTATACAGAGTACTTTATAGAAAGTACATTCAATGGGTGCAGATATAAGCCTTCTCGGAAAGGAAAAACCATACTAATTTAAGGAAATTTGTGTATTTATCCTTTCTTTTCCACTTATTCATTAATTTAACATGTACTAATTGAGCATCTAACATAGGATAGACACTGGGAATATAAAGAACCATAATTTCTATTCTTATGAAACTTACCTGATGGGGAAAATCAACATTAACCAAATAATTCTCTAATGTTCCTGGTCTAGTCCCCTGTCCTCCCCATCTACTGTTACTATTGGAAAGGAATGTCATGGTATACATCACATTGTGTCCCTAGGATCTGTACTAGAATACACTAACATTATCCTCTCATAGTTTTCATTTATTATTAAATAAACCAGACATATAACATTCCCCTATGTATCTACCCCCTATGAAAAGATGAACATTGCCAATTTAATTGAACCCCCATCTCTCCCTAATCCCATTGCTCTGTACTTCATCCAGAGGGACTAAACACTTGTCCATGCTTTTCTCCACATTTTTATTATATAGGTATGTTTTTTGAAACAATACATAGAATTATGGGTGTTTAAAATTTGTTATGTGCTATATCACACTATTTTTTCCTTGATGATATATTTATGAAATTCATCTGTATGGATACATATGCTTCTAGTTCATTTATTTTCCCCGAATTATAATACTTCCTTGTATGTATATACCACAGTTTACCCATCTTCCTCAGCAGATATTCATCACAATTTCAGTATTTTACAGATGCAGACAGTATTGGTTCTTGTATATGTCTCCTATTGCACATAAGTGAGTTTCTCTAAATCTAGGCTACATCTAGGGTTGGAACTGCTGTACTATAAGGAACATGCCTCTTTCATGTTCTCTAAAGAGTCCATACCAGTTTAGAATCAGCAGTGTGTAAAGCTTGTCTTCATCTTTAAAATTAAATTAGAATAAGATCTACCCATTTGATGCTATTTCTATATATTCCCCAGATTGCTCATAAGAACATTTTCACTTCTATTATTTAATGTCCTTTACATGAAATGCCATCTGGTAGATTTTGTTGCTGTTAATGCTAGGGAATTTTTCTCTCAATGTGCATACTGTGCTTATTTACAAAAGGATTTGAAGCAACTCGTTGGCCTTCCCTAACAAACTGCCAGTTTCCTCTAACAGCCAATACTTCCTCTGTGATTCCTTGTTGTCTTGACTGCCAAGACAGCAAGAGCTAAATTCAAGGCTCAGGTGTGAAAAAAAAAAGGTTTTGATTTTAGTTTTCCCCTTTTCTTTTCCATGGGAAGATCTTTCTAGTGTGAGTCTTAGACTAGCATCTTGTTAAAAATGCTGCTTTCTAAGTCCAGTCTTGTATATTTTTAATTGGAGTTTCTAAGGTGGTATCCAAGAATTGGCATTTTAAAAGTTTGTGTCAAATTTGCTGTCTCAAATTTGAGAATCTATTATATGGCTTGTAATCTCAGTTTCATATTCATTATGATTCTTCTATTAGAAGTGTGGTGTTATTCTAAATCATTTCAATCATTGTTAATAAAAAATCCTTTTGTATTCAATGGAAAATATTATAATCGACAGAATAAGATGTTTGCATAAGATTTGGCTCTAAACTTAAATTGTATATTTTTTGTATTTGGACATGTAGAGCATTAGACTTAAATTTGTGGATTCTATAATTACTACTTGAATATCTACTATGTAACCATGCAATGTACTGTAAGAAGTAGTAGATGGATTAAAAAAAAAAAAGCTGCAAACAGACAGGAGGTTAAGAATCTTTTTTTCTGAATATTTTAAAGTCACATGTACATTTTCCTGAATCAGAAGCAGATTTTTTAAAAGTAGAGTTTTGGCAAATGTGTGTGTCTGGCTGTAGGTGATCCACTCATATCAGTGCATTAAAATAGAGGTCCTCATCAGTGAAATGTTTCTTGACACATCTCTGCAAGGATCTTTAACATCTTTGAGTGCATCGCTGAGAGATCTGTAGCTTGTTAACCTGATGAATGCAAACATCAGCCTCATTTACCTTTTTAGATTTAGTAATTAAAAATTTTTAGAAAAGCAATGCATTTCTAAGTCTGGCTAGAAAATCATTTGAAAAGCTAAACAATGTTCTCTTCTCTCAGCATTGTTATTTGTATTTATGCCAGTTAAGTGTTTGTGGAAAGGGATGTTTACATTAACTGGCTCCTACTTAATAATTTTCATGCAGTGCTACCCATATAACTTCCCTCCTCTGGAACCTAGCTACAGGGAGTGCTGTATATTCAGAATGGCACTAGCATATTTATCTTGAAGTAGAATTGGGAGATAATACACACTCAGGTAACTTAAATATGTCAAATTGTTTGCTTTTGACCATGTGAATGATAACCAGTTTGTTTGTCCACTTGAATTTCATTCAGCAAATATTTACTGAGCACCTACCATGAAGGATTTGTATTCAACACAAAATACATTCTCGATGGACAGAAAGAAAACATCTTGAATCAGTGCACATTTTCTAACTGGTAGTAAATAACAGCACTGAAAGCATGTGATAAGTGACATTTTAGTAAATGAGTAAGTTGTTATGATTTTATTGGCATCAGAAATGTTGCCTTAGGAATGTCTCTGTGGCTTATTTAGCTCCTATAATTGTGGGTAGCAAACATGAGATATCTCACTTCATCTTTTTGATTCGAGGTGGTTGTATCAATTTATTGCCAGTTCTTAGATCAAAGTCACCTGAAGGTTTGGTTGGGCTTGGTATTAAATGCAGATTCCGGGGAATCCCCTCAATTGCCCTTGCATTTACTGCTAGAGTGGGTATGATAAAGGAGACTCTTATTTTTTGTAAAAGATCTTATGTTTTTAGAGTAGTTTTGAATTCACATCAAGATAAAGAGGAAGAGGTAGAGATTTCCTGTGTGCCCCTTCTCCTGCATGTGTAAAGTCTTCCTCATTATCAGCATCCCCCACCAGAGGGGTCTGTTTGTCACAAATGATGAAGCTACATTGACACATCATTGTTACCCATGGTACATGGTTTACATAAGCACTCCCTTTTGGTATTAAACGTTTTGTTGTGAGTTTGGACACAGAGACACTGTCCTAAAAAGCATCTGTGCTCTGCCTGTTCATCCGTCCTTCTCCGTAACTACTGATGACCACTGATCTTTTTACTCAGTGCCTGTGGCTTTGCCTTTTTCAGAATGTCACGTAGCTGGAATCCTGCACTATGGAGCCTTTTTGCTATGTAGGTTTTCTTCACTTAATAACATGCATTTAAGTTTCCTCCATGTCTTTTCAGGGCTTCACCACTCATTTCTTTTCAGTGCGGGAAAACAGTTTGTCTGAATTACCATACTGTGCTTACTCATTCACCTACTAAAGAACATCTTAATCGCTTTTAAGTTT